ATGTATCTGTTCTTATCATTGTGTTTCATAAAATATGATTGTCCACAAGTCGATCACGTCGTCGGGCTATGACTGCCAACAACTTAAGAAAGCAAGGGTCACTGCTAGTCTAGTGTCGGTAAATAATATTGTTATCCTACATTTCACTAGGTCCCTAAGTCGGGTTTCGATGGCGTGGGATGGAACATTATTTCGCTCTACTACCGAATGTCTTTGCCATCACAATCCTTAAACCCCAAAAAAGACCGTCCAACTTATGAAATTATTTGATGGTTCATATATAGTCACATCTATATATGTGTATTTTTGTTTCAAATATAAGCACCTAAATCAAACCAAGAAGCACGGAAAAAAAAGAAGAAAAATGGGGTGAGAGAGAGGGGAGAACAATCCACCTGAAAGAGCAAAGAAAGGAATCGACCCTTAAAACCACGACTAAATAACCCCAAAATCAAAAATGCTAATCTGCCTCATTGTAGCCAAGAAAACATTGCAAAATAGGTGCCCAAACCTGCTTTCAATAAGCTAGCAAAATGCCCTGATACTATGTCCCAAATGCTTTAAAACGATACCCAAAAGCTGCTTCAAGGCAGTGCTAAAGTGTTTCAAGGCATTGCATAAATTCCTTCTAAACATCCAAAATATAAAACAAGGAAAAGCTAGCTGCATTATTTCCAAATTTTAATTATAAGAACAAGCTCACTGCCTCACGGGTAGGGACAACAAGGAGAGCAAACCGAGTCCAACAATGGGCACATCAGCCATGAAACCGCAGCCACAAAAGCCCCCAAAACCGCAACCAAACACCAAAAATAAAGCCATAAACTGCAGCCAAAATAGTCCGGAAAACTTGCAAAATCGCAGCCTAATAAGCCCCAAAAGCCCTCGGAAAACTGCAGCCATATAGGTTTCTAATTATAAATATATAAATAGATACACGTTATTGCAATTTACCAGGCAACAAACCATCAGGCCAAACTAATTCCAAAGCATTTCTTAGATTTCGAAGCACCCAACCTCCCCACAGCAAAATATTATCGCATTCCAGCAAACCAATATGATATACATCAAAATACACTGGAATTTCAATGGAGCAGCAAATCAATAACTTCCTGTTTAAATTCAGGTGTTATATTTGTGCATAAATATAAGAATTCTGTGGTATACATGTAAATGCTGCAATTTTAGAAATGTAAATATGTAAGGACTGGGTGGTATATATGTAAATGCTGCGATTAAACACATAAGGACAGGTGGTATGCATGTAAACTCATGAGTGTTGCAAAAAGATAGTTCAGAATACAACTCAGCATACATCTGTATAAAACTTGGCCATCTAAATATATGAATCCAACTGTATTTTGATGAAGGTTTAGGCTTATGCACAACAAATCTGAGCAATTGAACATATAAGTGCATAATAATTCAATTGTGTTTATTTTGTTGTAAATATGAAAGCTCGAGCATGTAAATCCTTATTTTTTATTTTATCTTATTCACAGATTTTGGGTGCTATGTGTGAAAATATTATAACTCAGGTGTTGTAAATGTAAAAAATATAGAAATTGGATGGTGTAAATGTCAAGAGCAGAGCTTAGGTGTTTGATTTGTAAATACAAAAGAAATAAGTAGTATTTATGCTTTAAACCAAGATAAACACAAGCTTCCATGAGGTTTGCCTAGTTAAAAAAAAATCTGGCTTTGCCCTATTCATTGACCCAAGATAAACACATTTCCTTCATGCATAGGTTGAAAGTATATAAAATTTGGGTGCTAAGTTTCAAGGTTTTCCAAATATAATTGTGATACAAAGACCTCGGCGAGGAGTGGGGATTATTCATGTAAACTAGTCACTAAGATTCGAATCCATATGTAAAGCTAATGATATAAGACGATTTTGAATCCCTCCAGCCTCTTAGATAAAAGGGGACTGGATTATGAGAGCCCAACTTTATCACAAAAAGCTTTTAACCCAACGAGAAGAAGCAAGAGATACCATTGACACAGCAAATCAAATATCCAAACCTCCTCCACACCAGATTAAAGCAGGAACTTACCATCAGACTTTTAGTGCTGGCACTAATAACCTTTCAGCCATGAAGCATTGATGATACTTGCATTTTTTAAAAGAAAGTCAACTAGTACTTATAAAAAAAAATGAAGATCAGCCACGCAACATGTAAATACGCAAGAATGATATAACTTGCATCCATTAGTTGGAGCAAAACGAGGGATTAAACCTTAGCCCATATCCATTTAAAATGAACAGGAAATGTATTCTTCACCATGAAATCAGGAATAGAAGCTAACCTTGCTCAAGATGTCACCCAAAGTTCAACCCCAGAACTTCCAAAAGATTTCAAGCACACACACGAGTTGAGACAAGCCGGAGGAATCACCAGCTAAAGATGCAACAACCACAATTCTTTCCCAATGTGGGGTTTTTATAGTCAAGAAGAGGAGAAGAGGTTACCTCTACATAACCGGACGATGAGGCGAGCCTAAGGGGACGGGCGAGAAGGCTTGGGCAGAGAGTCGCAGGCATCGGGAAGAAGAAGCCCTTACCCATTCGTGCCTGAGGGAACAAGCTCGCCAGGGTCAAACTACCAAGGAAGGAAGTTCGCAGCTCATGTAGACAGGCATGGCTTCGGGAAGGAGGTTCTCAGGCAGTCATGGCTTCGGGAAGGAGGTTCTCAGGCAGAGGATGTCGGGCAAGTACGGATGGGAGGTCAACTCTCCCTCACGTGGAAGAGGAAGTGCGGCCAAGGTGTCGCACGAGCCGAATGAGAAGAATCGGGGGGAGGGGCATGAGGAGCGATTAGATCTCCGTGGCAGGTAAAATTATTGTGTGTGAGCTGCGTGCGCGCTCTCCGATCTCAGCTACAGATCGCGAAGCCTGATATGCGGCTGCGATCAGGGAGCACACGCAGCTCTGCGTGCGCTCTCCACACACAATAATCGCTCGGGCCGAATGCAGAAGGTTCGACCGAATGGGGAAGGTAGTGTGCGTGAGTCTGAATTACGGATTTAAGGCAAATAAATCCCCCTTTTATTTTAATATATATATAGATTAATTTTATAATATTTGATACAAAAATTCCCCCAATTTATGCACATCTCGTTAGTGCACGAAACTATATCAAGATGGGTGTCCCTCCCAGCTAAATTCGACGTCCTAGATGAATCGGCGCGGTTTGTTTCATCATTCTTCCTGATGACTTCATCGACAACTGGGTCGAAAAAGCATCAAGTTCAAGTTTTCACAAAATTCTCGCTCATTTTTCGATCATTCCAGCAATTGATTCAAGCTTGATCAATCGTGAAGCCTTCTACAAGTGCAAATGATGTGAATTTCAATAGTTATGTGCAACGAGCGCGCGAATTGTGGTATTCGTGCATCGTGAAAACGAAGTCACAATGTCGTGAGCTTCTCTTACTCAGTTAACCCATTGATTACAAAGTATCATTCCACCTAATACACTCACCCATGTGTATCCTCCCCTTCGAAGATTGACATCTTCAGTTTTCTGACTCTTGCATCTCCACCCCAGCCTGCTCTTCCTCTGGTATTTCCCCCCATGTATCTAAGGTGGAACTCCTTTCTCCGGTCATAGGCATTCCCTTCTTCCTCAATCGTACTTTTCAGTGCCCTTTACCCCATCGCTCCTCCAATTTTCGGTACATCCACCTCCATCAAAAGTCTCTACTCCCCCCCTCTCGGAGTCCAAAGGGGATGCTCATGTTGGTAGGTTATGTCTTCCTCGTTGTCTTCTCGTTCAGTCTCCTTCCCTTTTGACATGGCCAAAGATTCCCTGATCAACCCTTGGTTAGGGTTTGCAACAGAAGCAATAGGCACGGCCTTAGATTGCATCTCCATGAGCTTTTTCATCATCTCCCACATTCCCTTATGCTCTCAAATCCATCCTCCATTTGACTTTCAATAAAAGAAAATTTGTCTTCCATGGTGGCGAACCTCTTTTCCATTCTCAATCTAATTTGCCCTACTCTCCTTCTAGCATCTCCACTTTCTTTGCTACCATCTCACCAAGATCTAGACTCTGATACCAATTTGATAAAATCCGTGAGCAAACAACGGCGAAACAGAAATAAATATGTGAAAAAATCAAATGAGGGCTGCTCTTACGAAAAACAAAGGAAAACAAGCAAGATACAAGGGTGATCTACTATTCGAGAGGTAGATCGACTCTCCTACAACCCTAGACGTTGCTAGGAACACCAAAAGAAGAAGAAAGAACGCATCAACCCAAAACATGCATAAAAAAATAAACCCTAGGTTACACCCTTTAATAGAATCATCCCACAACAATTCAAAAATTTCCATCCAACTTTCCCTCCAAACTCCTCTAATTTATCCTCCTTGAGTATGTGATTAAGGCCCTCGTGGACCCCACCTGCTCCCTGCCATTTTCAGCTGCGGCAAATTACAGCTCTCTGCCTTCTTTAGCCAAGACAGATTGTTGTTCAGCCTTTTCTGGCGATGCAGACATTTCAGGTGGCCCGGTTGGGGGGAATCAACCGGTACAGGATGGACCGATCTTGTTACGCCCGGGCCTATTATGGACGTGGGCGTAACAAGAACAAAGGGGATTCGAGCAAAACGAGTGAGGCTATGCATCATATGAAAATTTCACCATTTTACAGCAATCATATATATTATAGAAATTTTGTTCCAATAAATTTTGGATAAATATTTCCATCCCCTCAATTGAAATCTTGATTTTGACATTGATTATACTGCAATAAGGATGTTGACATTGCACAATAGAATGTTAATATATTAATCAACAGTGTAAGCATCCACATTTTTCTCATCATTGGTTGTCTTGTGAATCTAAAACTAATAGCACAATAGCTTAACGAAAATACATGTGAAAATTGTGTATGCATTATCACGAGAATGTCTTAGTGAATGTTACACTTCATTTATGTTTTCTATATTCAACATACAAGAAAGGGAGGTGGTTGGATTGGCCACATACACTGATACTCCTTTTATAGGTGATGGCATCATAAGTTTGAAGCAATTCCTTTAAGCAAAAATATTCAGCATTAATGGCTCCATTTGACCTAGCTGCACCAGACACGGCAAGAAGGAGCATGGCCATAGCATTTGAACCAGAAAATAGATAGAATATACCACAAATTAAAAATAACGCATAAAGGCTCTTTGAATATCTGCCAAAAATAAGGTTCTTATGATTATAGATGCCAATTTAAAAGTTTTAATTCTATAAAATTTTGCAGGTTAAAATCTTACATTGATGAGTAGAATATAGAAGCGGGGTTGAAACAAAACAAGACAGATGCTTGCAAGGAAGCTGTTGAGTCCTTTAATATTAAAAGCGATAACCCATAAATAGAGAAGATATTCCATTTAACAAAGAGTTTCATTGTAATCACATTGAGAGAATAAAGAACAGAAGAAAAAAAGAATCAATAAAATATTCCCATTATTTCATCAAAATAAAACAGTTAACAAATGTGGTAGAAATTTAACGAGAATAGATGATATTAATACATATCACTTCTTGGTGCTAAGATGTTAAAAGTAAACTCGCCATCGTCGGCTCTAACAATTTCATTGCTCTCTGTCTACTTTCTTTAACATTTGCCAAGTGAAAATTGCTTGGTCTTCTCTCCTTAAAGGAAATCGAGGACAAGCCTTGATGTCATTACGAATGAACAAAAGCCCCATACAAAAAACTCCACCTCCTAACAAATGGAATCCCAAAATCATAACATTTGAGTCTATAAAGCCAAAATATGTTATTAAGTCCGTCAGTAAGTTGGTGTCAATAGAGAAAACAAAAACATATCTGATGCAGGCGTTAGAACAGCGACAGGGGGGCGGCGTTGAAGCACGCGGGGATAGAATCAGGCAAATTGATGTGAAGCATGAGGCAAGATTGCGAAGAGCTGAAGGCAAGCGGGCAAACTCTCGTGAAGGAAGAGAAGGCTTCGCGAGCTGTCGCATTGATGTTGTATTTTCTGGATTCTTCTTGTCTTCCCACCCCTTCCTTTTGTGTAAAAGTTTTCTTTGTCCAGTGGGAGTTTATAAATTATTGTCCTTTGTGTGTGGGGGTCATTTCTGGCGGTGTTATCTTCAAATTTCCTATGTAGAGTTCTCTTCCTCTTGTTAGGGTTGTATCCGATGACAGGTGGTCCTCCGGTTCTCCGGCTGTATCCTACTCCGAAGTGGTGTTGTATCCTCCCTCTATCCTCCTCTTCTTCGCCACGACCCTCCTCCTACCTCTTCCATAACCGCCGAGCAACTCCATCTCCCTCCTCCACTCTACTGCCACCCCTACTCCCACCACAACCCTCCTGTCCAGCTCACCTACAACCCACCAAACACCATCCCAACCTACCCAAACAACCACCCGGCCTTCCCCACCTTTCTCTACCACTCCACCACCGCCACCACTGCCTTTGGATCTCTTCCTACAGCCCTAACCTTGAAAGGTGTACATTTTGCACTAAAAAATAAAAACCAAAAGATACAAAAAGGAGCTATAAAAGTTACACAGAAAAAGAAAAAGTGTGGTTGAGATCTTCCTCAACCACAACCAAAAAGTTGGGTCACAAGTGTGAGCATCCTAGTCAAAAGACAAATTCAAAGTGAGCCAGGAGCAAAAATGGACTGCTTTGTTACAATCTCTATACGCAAAAAAAAAGAAAACTTGTTTAAAGTTCATAAGAAAAATTCTATCAAGATCCATATCAAGTTGGAGTTGCCAAACCTCAGGTTGCGTGCTCTTTTGGAGGGTGTTGATGACGTTCACATTGTCTCCTTCAATTATAATACTCTTCGTACAACCCAAACCGAAGATTAGTCTATCGTCGTACTTTCTTTTCCGTTTGAGTTATGTTGTAACTCTATTTTTATATTAATATTTTTTTTTTGTGTACCGCTAAATTCTAACTAGTTCTGATATTATTATCCTGGGATGATCTTGAACTAAGCTATCCCACAAGCCTCTCAACATTAACAATATAGAATCATCAAAATGGAAACACCTTAGGTCATTGCATAATGATAGCCAAAACTCAATTGCAAATATATCTAGACATATAACTCTACATATCATGAAAGAAAGGAATTAGAGCCCTTGAAAAGTGAAAAAAAAAACAAAAAAAACAAAACAGGACCAAATGAGCATGAGCGTTGTTAGCATCAACCTAAGGAAAAATCAAAGGATAGGAGCCTAAACAGAAGCACGGTCACAATCACAAAAATCTCAATGAAGAATCTCATATCCTTGTGTCTCCACAATCCCTGTCGTTGGACGAGATAGATCTGCACACACACAAAGCTATATATATATATGGCTAAAGTCTTCCCACTACATTCATAGAATGTTATGAGCACAAGCAATAAGCATCTCCTAAGGTCATTGTTTGATACATCTTTTAGAACAAGGCATCTTAAAAGAACATGAGCGCATTTTTTTTCTAAAGAGATAGATTAGCAATCATAAACTTATAAATAAAGTAAAAAAAGAAAAGAAGCAACTAGAAAAGCAATAAACTAATAAAACGAAGCAACGTTGCCCTTAGCGAACACTATGTGTAGAGTGCTTCAGCAACACATTAACCTTCAAGGCAATCACAACTTTGCCTCAATGTAGAACAACCGCACCCTAGACAATCTGATCTATTATTGTACTCCCATGAGGTTGTTTCGTAAAACAGAGCAAAATTTATCACCTAATCCCCTTAACAAATTTTGTCCCATCATTGAAGTTGTGAGGAAATGAGTCTCAAAAAGAACAATTCATTTGTTGTTAGTGACCACATTGAGGATAAAAAAGGAGTTAAAATAAATTGAAGACTTACTATGGTTTTACTTCATTTATGGAATAAATTAATAATATTTATATCACGGAAAACACCAAATAATTGTGATCAAGTGTATTACAATTTCCAATGATTTGCATTGGCAAAGCATGCCTATAACATCAATCAACTCTTTACGCCTACAACGAGTTCAACTCCCATCGAGTTGTCTAGTAGTTCAACTAAGTCTGATTAATAAATAACTACAAACCTATACACAATCAATAGCGAAGAAAAGATGAAAAGATCACTCACTCAAGGCTCCCTATCAATGAAGCTCGAGACAATTACATTAAGATAAGATAGCTCGTCACTATGGAAATATGCAGAAAGCTTAATGATGTTGAATGTTGCCCACATATGAAAGCAAATCCAATCATGTACTTATTCCTAGAGGCGTAAAGTTTCACTTACCAAATATTGAGGTCACTGAACATCATTTCAAGTACAATCAAAGAAAAAAGCATTGTTTTCCAAAAGATCAAGCTCACCACTACAAAGTTTATAAATACACATATCATGGACTAGTGGATATGCAAAGCTAACTGACATTTGGCTAAACATACCTAAGAAATAAGCCCTTATTTATGCTCAGCTCAGGATCAACATGGGGATAAAATAGCATGAAGTATCAGCATCTTATGTCCTTTGTCAAAGGTATGGTATATCTTCAACCCAACTCAAACTTGTTGCAAAGTGATGTTGATCAAGGCCTCCCTCGGAAGAAAATTGTGCATGCAATTGTTTTGAGGGATGAAACTCAAGCCCAAGATGATAATATTGGCACTTAAAACAATTAATGATTGTGGCTTAATGTCTTAGAGAAGGCTGAGGGAAAATGCTTCATTGAAAACTACCAACAAAACATTTCTTGCTTAACAGAAAATCAAAAATTATATTACTAACTAGAAATCAACAGCCCTAACAAATCCAACAACTTCTATAACATGATGGCCAATTCCTCTTGGCTAATCCAATAGATCATGATGGATGGTTCCTAAGATTACATCACAAATAAGCCCCTCAAATTTAAAACACAATCATTAGCCTAGGTTTAATGTAAATTTGACCTCGTTTACAAACTTTCAATCCTATGTCAATAAAATTAACTTGATCGAGAATATTCATGATTATGGATAAAAATCCTTAAGTCAGGGACTAAAAGCATTGTTTTCCTCAAATTATTTAGACAAGGGTACTTTGTACCCTAAAAAAATCTAAAATGACATAATAATTGGATATAAATTGACATTATCATCATCCAATCCTCATCTCCTTAGAATAAGAAAATCAAAATTTTAAATATTAAAATATCATATTAAGTCAAACTAAATGAGAAGTTATCATAGCACAAAAGTTATTATAGACCTCTATAAATATTTTTAATTGATATTTCTTTCCCGTGATCAAGATGGGTAACTAGCCAAGGGGCCTACACCCATTGAATCCTTGAATAATGAATATGAAATCTTCTGCAAGAGGTAAAACTTCAAGTCGTGCCATATCCATTATTTAATTTACCTCTAAAAAATACTTTTCATGTACAACCTTAGATTTTAAGAGATGACATTTCTGCAAATTGAACTCATGACCTCCAAACCATACAACAACAACAACAATTCTTTATCCCACTACTAAGTGGGGTCGGCTATATGAATCATTCTTCTCCATTGTATCCTATTGAGTGTTATATTTTCATTTGATTTTAATAACTTAAAATCATTTTTTATACAACATGCCAAAGTCTTTCTAGGTCCACCTCTACCTTTCTCAGCATAAGTCGAATCTAAAACATTTGCTCTCCTAACATGATCATCAGATGGCCGACGATTAATGTGACCAAACCATCTAAGACGACACCCTCTAATCTTGTTTGCCGATGGAGCTACACCAACCCTTTCACGATTACATTCGTTTCACATATGTCTCTGAGTACCAAGCCACTATTCCACCTAAGCAGTCTCATCTCATCAACACTTAACTTAGTTTTATGTTTCTCTTTTAAAGGCCAACATTCTATGCCACAAAGCATTGCAGGTCTTACCACCATCTTATAAAATTTTTCTTTAAGTCTAAGCAGTGTTTTTCTATCTCGCAATAGGCTCGACACATTCCTCAACTTCAACCATCCAATTATAATTCTACTAATAACATCCCCATCTACCATCATTTCGAACAATAGACCCGAGATATCTAAAATATTCCCAGCTTTTAATGATTTGAACACCCATTGTTATAACTCTGCCACTAGCTCTACCACCACTAAAATTGCATTCCATGTATTCAGTTTTAGACCTACTCAAACAAAGACCTTTTGACTCTAATATAGACCTCCATAATTCAAGTTTTTCCTTGACATCTAAATCATAATGAAGCAAAACAAAAACTCCTCCAACTTTACATTCTCAGTGCAAAATAACAAATAGTTGTTTGATCAATCACATCACACCAAAACTTGAAAAGAGATTTCTTGGCTAATCTAAGATTATAATCCAGACAAACTTCACTTCCATTGCATAGATAATTTACATCGCAATCAAATGAAAGGGTATGAGTAAAGGGTATGAGTTTATTGATGAGTTTATTGCAAAAAAAGGATAGATATTGGAACCCTGATCATAAAAGGATTCACCCTTTTGATTTCTTTAGACAGTATATTTTTTTTCTTTATAGATATACTTCACCCATAGAACACTTCTTAAACCCAAAAACAATCATTTCAAGCAAAATTCACTAGGATCAACAACATAATAGTATTCAAGCAAGAAAAGAACTGCAACAAGAGTCGTTGCTTACTTATATAAATAAATGGCAGCAAGAACAAACGCAATATTATTCAGAACATAACCCGATAGCGCCAGTACAGCTCTGTATCCAATCACAGGGATCAAAGGAGCAAAAACTGCAAGAGAGGCACAACCATTATCAAAAAATACAAAATCTAAAAACTCAGTCCTACAAAATAAAACAGAGGCAAACAAAACAATTGAATTATCCGCTAACCGGAACCCGAGAGCAAGGAAATAGACAAAGGAAGGAGGGGAAGGAAAGCATAGTTTTGCTCGTACTCATAACCACACTCCGCAATCCGGACAAAGCAGACACTGTCCCACACAACACTTCCCTCTATCAAGGCCCCAATCCTCGGCCACAGTACTCGACCAGCTTCCGCCAAATGCAAGAGATCATCGACATTGGAAGAAGATGAGAGGCAGCTAGGGTTAAGTTGAGCTGAAGAATCGTAGGGCGGGAAGAGAAATCTCCATGTGATGATCAGAGATAGTAGGAGAAACCGCGAGAACATGGCGAGCCTGAGCACCAAACGTTCGGCCTCCCGCATTGCAGAGTTAATGGATATTCGAACCAGATATCGACTTTGGATTGGAGACTTCCTACGACTTTGGCTTCCAGGATTGGGGTGGGATTTGATGAACCCGACCAAATCAAAAGAGAGAAATAGAGGGGGTAACGGATTTAGAGCAAGATTTTACCTAAATCCTGGTAGACAATCGGTTTGAACAATATAAAGTCGCGCCTTTGATAAAATACGGATTATTCCCGCGAAAAGGAAAACCATCCTTCCTCTTTCTCCATGGCTTCGAGTACGGTCAGAACGAAAGGAGAAGAAAGATGAGCTCGGTGAGGCTATCGTGCGGTTCAGAGGTTATTTTGGGGGATTATCACCGGGTTAATACAAAGTTACTGAAATGTAAATGCAGAAGTTACTCTGGAGTTATTTGAGTGAGATTGTAGAGTTTATTGGGGTTATTAAAGGATTATTGCTGGGTTATTAGAGTTAACGTTTCAATAACCCTTTAATAATCTCTCAATAATCCTCTAAATAATTTTTGTAGTTCTACTCTAATAATTTATGTAGTTTCACTTTAGTTTTTGTTAGGTGTGTCTGATATAACACACGTGGCGACATATTTTTTGAGTCCGCATGTAGAATTGCATCCGGACTCCGTATGAAAAATTTTCTCATCAGTCACAAAGTCGATGGTTTTGGACGAAATCGGTTGAGAATGTACAAGAGCAGTTGTGTGAGGGTTTTTGACGTTATTTTGATGGTCAATTTTTATTAATTTATATTATATCTCAACCGCATCTAATATTTTCTTGTGTGAGCGAACCAAATCATCATTGTAGCGTTTTTTTATCTGTCATTGGTCGCCGCAGTTAACTGCCACCACCGCCTCCGTTCACTGGTCGTCGATGTTACCAAGCATTCATTTCATTTTTACTTCAAATCAAACATTGTAATCTCTATTCAACAAAATAAATGGCACATATTTTTCATCATCCACACTTCCTGCCTTATCACCATGTGTTACCCACCCTCTTGCTCAATAAAAATCACCAACATTTGAGCAACACTTCATCTATCATGTTGCTTTCAGTTGCATTGTAAGTAAAGCCATTAAATATATTTTCCTTTTCTTCTTCTTCTTTTTTGTAGTGTTTTTTATTCAGATTTTGTGGTGAGTTTGATGATTAATATTCTTTGAATCATAAAGGATAAGTTATTGAGAGAGGCAACGATATAAAAATAATTCATTCAATCTCAATGACTGCACAACGCCTATGTTTAATAGGTCAATCGATTTGACTTAATATCCCAAATGTGATAAATTGAAATTCATGATAATGGGTTTCAATAATTTATGATTTAATTTGATTTGACTAATTATCAAAATAAATAGATGTTTGTAAAAGTAAATTAATTTTCTATCAAGATGGTTTGGTTGGCTCAAAAGATAATACAGTATGCAATGAAAGTTATAGAAAGAAAATGTATTGTATTTGAAATACTTTTGTATTATTTGGTTCACAGTTAAGGTTGTAATCGAGCCAAGCTGAGCTGAGTATATCATTGTTCAGGCTTGGCTTGGTATAATCATAAGTTAGTCATGTTCGGCTTGAGCCTATGTCGAGCTTTCATACATTATGCAAGCTTGATTGGTTTAATTTTTTCAATGTTTGAACTTGATTTTTACTTGATTTGTTTATGATAAGAGAACGAGTATTTAAACGAGCTAATAAATGAGCTGAAAAATCAAACGAGAATATAGATTTTCATATAACAAATTTAATAAATAATTTTTTGATTCTAATCCCGACTACTAATTTGTCGATTATGAGCTCTAAAATATTTAAACTTTACACATAATTCTTATTGGTAGAACAATACTATTTTAAATTTTGTAAGTGGAATAACTAAATAGATCCTAAAAGTTATACGTATTATCATTTATTTAATCATATTAATAAGAAAATAATAGCAAATAGACAACCCAGATTAATATTGTTGGTAATTACAGTGTAATAGTCATAAAAAATGAACTCACTGCATTAAAAGTCATAAAAATTCAGCAAGAAAAATATTTTATAACATTTTTTTTAACTGTAAATACCTACAACTCACTTATTAATAAAATAATTATATAATTAATAATTAAACTAAACATTTATTGATCAAATACTATATTACTATTAAGTCTATAATTAAATAATTTTTTACTAATTAAATTTTATTTAAAATAATATATTATATACATAATACAAGTTATTATCAAATATAATATCAAATTTTCAACAAATTACTTGTTAAACGATAAACGAGTTTGTGCGTGAATATTAAAGAACAAGTTCGACTATGCTCATGTACAATTCGTTTAAGCTTCGAGCTTTTAAAAATTGTTCAAGTTTTTTTATTTACTAATATGAACGGAACATGTTCAAGCCTTAATTGAGTCAAGTTCAAGTTGTTCATCGAGTGTATTGGTTCATTTACAGTCCTATTCATTATAGCATAAATGGAAGACTTCATTATTTTGTTAGTTTGAAGTAAAACGAAAGCAAGATATTTCAACGTATTTAAAAATTAATGCATTGGCAAGCGGTGACCAACGTTATTAGCAGATAAGGCGGCTGCTAGCAGCATGCAACAGTGGCAGCCGACGTCTGTGGTAAAACGAAAGCAACATATTTTACTTTTATTTCACTCACAATCATTGTTTATTTATTTATTCTTCACTTCCCCACAGAATAACTGAAGGGCCAATGCTGTGGGCTCTACACATGAATAAAAGCCCATAGATTGTCCCAATCATAGCCCACAGGAAAACTCTCAACTCAAAAACCATATCCAATTGGCCCACCATTTATCTACAACTGATTTGCAACCTCTGAAAAATAGCGGCAATGTGACGGTGACCCCTTGTGGTTGAATGCCGTTAACGAATTGTCATACGTAAGTGTGTAAATATTCCAAATAAAATCTTATTATGTATTTATTTTAGGAAGATTAATAATGCATTTACATAAATAAAAGTTGAATTTTAGATGTGATGAGCAACATTTGGGTGGTATAAATGTAAAAAAAAAAGTAGAGTTATGTGAGAGGCATTTACATGCATAGCACCCAATTCTTTTGTATTTGCATATCTAACAACCTGGCTTTAATTTCTAAACTCAATATTAGAAATAAAATAGTTTTTTTAGAAAAAAAAAATAGAAATAAATATTTATGATTTGAATGATTTTATAAATAATAACAGCATCATAGATTATCATCGTACATAAATCAATTTATTCAATACTTAATTAAGAAAATAAAAAACATATTTGTACAATTATATTTTATTTTAAATTAAAATATAAATAAAATAAAATAAAAATGATCCTAATTAAACCACGGTACCATAAAAAGTAAAATATTTTTTTCTATATATATATATATATATATATATCATATTAA